CTGGCAGAAACTGAGTAAAATGCCAACACCGATCTACTCGGATTCCAGGGCCCGTGGGTGAACTCATATTTTGAGGATGCTTCAACAACTTGACACGAGGCCCAGTATGTTATTTGATTCCAGGGTTGACAAGCTGAACAAACATGTCAGACGCCAAACACATATGGAACATACACATATATATATATATATACATATTTATGTGATATCCCCCGGATGGATCTGCTCTTCCGTCAGCATTGACTGGTATTGGCAGTGGTTTCTTCTTCTCTTTTTGGATTTCGGGAAAGCAGCCAAACAAGCGCATTTCCAAAGTTCCACGAAACCTTGAACCCAGGCCCGAACGAAATTTCAGTCGGTTTGGATCTACCTCTGTCAATTTTCTTATCTGATTTGGTGAGAAGATGAAACTAGCTTTATTATTGGCTCCAACCTCAGCTTGGGCAGGACAGGTTTGGGGTGTAGGTTTAGGGTTTAGGGTGCATTAGCTCACGGTTATGGGAATCAGACAAAGTTCTTGTAGACAAAACAATAAAGCATGTTTTTTGTCATGAGTTTCATTGGAAAAACAAGCAGTTGTTAAAGAACACTCAGCTTGTTAGCTTCTTTGGTTTTGCTTGTAATTCAACAAGCACTCGGCAAGGATGGATTTGAAAGAGGGTGGTCTTTTCAAATAATACTTTTATGTGGAATATTTATTTCAAATTAAACTTCAAAGAGGGCTTCTTCTTTTTTTGTGTTTGTTTCTTCAAAGAATATTTGCAAGTAGAACTCGAATTTTAAGTTAGATTTCAATCGTTTTTTCTTCTTCCTTTTTCTGTTTTTTGTTTTAAATCAGGATTTGAATAGAACTCAATTTGGAAACCACGTCTAGGAGAATTTATAGCTTTAAAGATAACTTAAATAGGATTTTTAAACAAGGTTTACATTGGACTTTGTATATCAAGTTAGATGTTGAAAATTTGTTTGTTCAATTTTCTAGTTAAAACTTATCCAGAAAGTAACAGTGACAGAACCTTAATAAAAACTTTTAGATCTAAAGATGATTTAAATAGAAACAGATTTTAATAAGAATATAGTTCTAGTATAACTTCCAACTTTAAATTACAAATTACCTAGGAAGTCTTTTTCGAAGAAATGCATCAATTGGACATGATACTTCAAATAGGCTTTTGAGACTCCAGAATAGCCTTCAAGCAGCAAACAGGTCGATTCATCGGGGGGTGCAAAAATGTGTGTATATATATACGCATGCCTAGGTGTACAAGCATGTATATAGACACATTATGTATACACACACACACATATATATAGATACATATATATATATATATATATATGTGATGGGGAAGCCTGCCGCAGTGCCTCCTGCCCTGCAGCAGCAAACGGATGTAGAAAGCGACAGATGTATCATCTCAATGCGAATAAGAGGTGACTAATATGCTACTACAATAGTTTGCACAGTGTCATCCCTACTGCGCGTGGTTGTTCGAAAGGGGTCCGCCCTTCCGTTGCCAAGTTAAACTCCTATGTGCCTACATATGTAAATAAATAAACTTATATATAAATATATACATGTCCGTGGAATAAAAACAAATAGATGCTTAGAGTCTGCTCAATGTCATTGGCACTTTTTGCGGCGTGCTCGAAATGGGTTCGCTTTCGTGATGTGGGACTAATTCCAAGGCGGAACAAAACCATTTTTCATGGGAACACAACTCCATATCCTGAAAAGTTCGCGTGCGGCAAGGAGCGGGAAGCAGAATCGCCAGTAGTTTATCTATTTCCTTGTTGCGCCTGCCGCGGTTTCCAACCGTGGAGTTTCAAAGTTACTCGGCGGCATTCGTGCTCTTTGCACAACGAATGACGGAATTGCACTTTTTGCCCAGCATGACTCGGTCTGCTTTTGTGGTGGTCGACACCGCCGGCACAACAAGTGCCTCAGTAAAATATTTTCCGCGTACTCAAAATAGATGTGGGTGTGACTAAATGTTCTTTACTTAGTGCAAAATTGCATTTTTCCAGCCCGACATGACTCGGTCTGCTTTTGACGGTCTTTGTTGACTAAAGCGGTGAGCGCCCCAGCATCACCAGTGTTTCAAAAAAGAAGGCGCGTTCCGCAAACTAATCAAAGAAAGTTTAACAAGAAACTTCCGTAGAACTGGAACTAAATGAGCTAGCTGCTTCGATGCGTGGCCATGACAGATAGCTTGACACATAGATAGCTTTTCAAAATATGGTTAGCGTGACAGACAGATAGCTTTGACATATAGCTAGCTTGACAGATAGATAGATTTAAGATGCATGGATGCGCGCGAAAAAAACTACGACAAATGCTCAAATCAGGAGAGCTGTGGGATGGCAAGATGCAGAAAACATTGGCTCTGTGCGTGAATTGGGCTTGCGCGCAGTGCGCAAACCACCTTGGTCGCGACGCCTGTGCGGAGGCGGTCTCGGAACGATCCCGGAACGGTCCCGGAACGGGTTCGGAGATGTGACCATTGGCACGGCCGCGCGCAGGTTTCACAAGGTGTGCATTGCGTGGCAGGCGCAGTACTTCGGAGAGGTCAAGTATAGATTTCGTGGCAGGCGCAGCATTTTCGCAAGGTCAAGTACAGATTTCGTGGCAGGCGCAGCACTTTCGCAAGGTCAAGTATATATTTCGTGGCAGGCGCAGCAGAAAACATTGGTTCTGTGCGTGAATTGGGCTTGCGGACAGTGTGCAAACCACCTTGGTCGCGACGCCTGTACGGAGGCGGTCTCGGAACGGTCCCGGAACGGTGTGACCATTGGCACGGCCACGCGCAGGTTTCAGGGTTTGGCGCAGTACTTTGGCAAGGTCAAGTGTAGATTTCTTGCCAGGCGCAGCACTTTCGCAAGGTCAAGTATAGATTTCGTGGCAGGCGCCGCACTTTCGCAAGGTCAATTGTAGATTCTGTGGCAGGCGTAGCACTTTCGCAAGGTCAAGTATAAATTTCGTGGCAGGCGCAGCACTTTCGCAAGGTCAAGTATAGATTTCGTGGCAGGCGCAGCACTTTCGCAAGGTCAAGTACAGATTGCGTGGCAGGCGCAGCACTGCCGCAAGGTCAAGTATAGATGTCGTGGCAGGCGCAGCACTTTCGCAAGGTCGAGTACAGATGTCGTGGCAGGCGCAGCGCTTTCGCAAGGTCAAGTATCGCAAGGTCAAGTAAAGAAAGAGAGAGAGAGAGAGAGAGAGAGAGAGAGAGAGAGAGAGAGAGAGAGAGAGTACAGATTTCCTGGCAGGTAGATAGATATATAGATAGAGAGTGATAGATAGATAGATTAGAATGAAAGATACGTAGATAGATATAGCTAAAAATAGCTTGCCCGACAGCTAAGGTACCAGCAAGGCGTCGGTTCTGCAAGGGTTTGATAGATCATAGATATTATAGATCACCATGCGTTCCTTCGGTTCGCGCGGCTCAAATGTCACTTTTGTGGTTTGAGCCTGTTCGGGCGGCCCTGCGCACGGCCTTGGGGGGTTGGCTGCAAAGCTGCGGCTGCTGCTGGAGCGTTGCAGGGTGGGGGCAAGACCGTGCCACTTCACCACCCTCACCACAGCCATCTATCATTGGCAAGACTTGCAAGTGTGCTTGAGAAAGTACGATACCACGGTCACGCAGCGTCGCATGGAGCCGGCGGCGGCTGGCTGCCAGAGGGCAAGCGGCTGGTCTTGAAGTACCCAGGTGTTGTTGCCTGGTACACAGCTTATAAGATGGATGGAGCTGTTTTATAAGTATGTGCTTCAGTACGAAGATGGCCAAGGCATCTTTGAATGGGGCGCGGGCGGCATAATGCGCTTGCATTCCACCAGCTTCGGCAGCGGCATGCCGCGCGTGGACCCAGCGCGCTTCTCCGCGCAAGATCTGGACGCAGACGGCCAGACGGCGTCAGAACCGCTGCCCAGTTCGCGCAAGCGCACGAGGAGTACTTGACTGACTGGAGCCTAGGCAAAGGCAAAAAGTGGCAGCGCGCAGCGGTCAGCAAGCAGGCGCGTGTGACGCGCCGAGGGTCCATCGGATCGTCCCTGCGCACTGACTCAGAGTCCGACGGCTCCGCGGACATGGAGCCGGAAAACTCGCCGTGTGCGCCGCTTCGGGCTTGTGTTGGCGCTTGATGAGGATTACGCGCCGAGGTTTCTCATGCCTCGCACTATAAGTTGGACAGCGATGGGCAGCGCTTAGTCCGTCGGCTGACGGCCGCAGACAAGGCCACTCTGCGCGAGCTAGACACCTGCCTGGTGGACCAGAAGTGGCACCCTTGTGCTGTTGCAGTCGCGGCCAAGGCGCTCTTGATGACAAGCAACTGTCAGCTCGTCCGCGCCGCGCGCCGGAAGTGGTACCGTCGGCTGACGGACACATGCAACTTGTACGACCGGCACGATGGACCGCCCGTAGAAGTGCCGCCCTCTTATGGCGACGGGGCCGCAGGAGGAAGATGGCGCCACGACCCGTCCGGTTGTTGATGTAGAGTTCGACGTGCCAGCAACGGTTCGCGTAATGACCCTCAATGCGAACCACTGCAGCCCCGACGCCGAGTTTGCAGCCGTGCTTCCTGAGATGGATGTTCTGTGTTTACAGGAGGTCACACCTTCGTGTTTGAGCGCCCTGCACGCTCTAGCCGCGGCGAAAGGTTTCGCTGTGAACAGCCCGGCACACAGAGGTCGCTGCAGCGACGAAGGGTTTGATGTGTGCAACCTTTGCCGATTTGGCTTTGGCCGAGTGATGCGAGCCAGCGTCACGCCTGTCGGCGGCCCGCGCGGCAGGCTAATGTTACCAGTCCTTGTTCAGGTAGCGGCCAACGGCGCCGTGCTATGCGTGGCCTCAGCCCATCTGACCGCGTCCAAGGCTGCTGCCGCTGCGCGCCAGCATGAGCTTTCGGCCTGCTTGGTCGGGACGCGTGCATTTTGGCAGGCGACTTGAACATGCACGCTGGCGAGAGGCTGCCGCGGGGCGGCTGGCTGGACGCCCACGACTGGC